TGTTTTCTCTTTCTTTGTTGATTCTTGTTAGAAAACAGGCTTTTATATAGCACTGGGACTTTGTTATGTTTAACACTGTGTTGATGTCAAGGGGAATATCAAAAAGCTATTGGTCAAGACAATTCACATAATTATGAATAACCCAGCATTGTAATCAGACAATGAGACAAAGAGATACAGTGCCTGTCTAGCAGCTGTTTGCTGTTCCATCTGTAAACAATGGATTAGACCTGTAGTTTAAAAATGAAACTTCAATTAAATATTTATTTAACTTTTTATTTATAATATTATAAACGTCAATAACCTTCAATTAAATATTTTATTTAATTAAAATGAATCCAGACAAATTAGAATAAAGGCTTGGGTAATACATCCGTCACTCTGCTAATTGCAAAGTGTAGGTACAGCACAGCATATTGGGTACATCTCTAAACTAATGACTGGTGGGTTCAGGTCCTAACAGCTGATATTTGAATGAGTTATTTCACCCAGAGTATTGCAGTCCACTCAGCTACATGAATGCAATCAGAAATATAATCCTTATATCCAGAAATATAACACTTACATACACATATAATAAATATCATAATAAACTTTATTTGATATAGCACCTTTAAAGAGGCTTCTCAAAGCGCTTTACAGAAAAAAAAACAGGAACAACAACAATTAAAAATAAACAATAAAAAATCACCATTTCGGTGAGAGGGGTGAGCCTGTTTAGTTGAGCAAAGCAGATGTAAATTCATTTTTTGAGCCTTGACACAATTCACAACACTGTCTAACAGATTTAAAATCGTCAGGCATTTTCTTGAAGGCAAAGTCTCGTGGTGGATGTTGCAATGCGTCCATTCATTTTAGAGAGCAACCTCTCTAATTCGTGCAACTACACCGCTGTGTCGGCTTGTCATTGCTCTAGCACCGTTTGTACAAACTCCAACTCATATTTTGCCATTGATGCCATTCTCTTCATTGAATTCATCCAGAGGCTAAAATATGGGCTCTCCTGTAGTTTCTGTTGGTAGCGGCTTACAGAACAGAAAGTCCTTATGGGACATACGATCAAACTCGTATCTAGCGTAAACGAACAAATTGGCCAAATCAAAGACATCTACAGACTCGTCTAATTGCAGTGAAAAGCAGCTGCTCATCTTGACGCGCTCTTTCAGCGTACTTTTGATATCATCCGCCATATCAATAATTCTATGAGTGACTGTGTCTTTCAGAGGGGGCAGCAGGTTGAGCTGTTTAGCAGCTTTTTCTCCACAGACAATAAGTATCAGCTCTTTTGCCAACGGTAATTAAGGTTCTTTAGCAATCCACAAGCTTGTATTTTCCCCCGTT